GCAAACACATTGCAAAATGCCATACTGTTGTTTAATTTTTTCTTTGCATAACTTGAAATGTGAATAGCTAAATAAAATGTTAATATAACAAACAAAACATTGAAATATACATGTATATACATTTGTGTAATAATAATATGTTAAAGTTTAAGTGACGAGTTATTGAATATAATTCCATAAGTAATTATTAAAATTGTCATATCTAACAGCAAAGATATTAAAAGAGGCTATTATAATTTATTATACGTACTGGTCATAATACCATCTTCTTGTTTATTTCTCCTAAGCAAGCTGAAATTTCAAGGATGTTTAAGCATTATCAGATATCTTATTGTAGAGATTACAGATAATTTGCTGCGAAGAGTGTCAGTTATCTGAGTCAATGTGATAAATTATTTCTAAAATTTTTATTTTATTACTTTAACAAAAATTATTTTAGAAATTTGTTAATAAACATTAACAGAAATTTTGAAATCAGAACTAGTTATTTTTAACTACTTTTTTATAACTGAGAAAAACATTTGGCAGCTACTATTTAATAATTAATAATAAATAGAAACATAACTTAAAGTATTTTTTGTATTAAGTTTATTTGAAATTAATACACATTAATCAATACAATAGTAATAAGCTTTGTAGCATATTATGGTATAAAACAATGTGCTTATTGTTTCATTTCCTCATTTTCTTATTTTCAAATAATACTACGGCTTAAATAAAACACATGTAATTTAATACATAATCTGTTGTTTTAATTTGATAATTATTTATGTACGATAAGCATAATTTTTATTTCTATAGCACAATTTAATTTTTTACTTATTTAAGAATTTGTAACTTTGTTACAATATTATACAAATGTACTTTGTTTTTTTGTTTAAAAGCAAATGATGTGAATTTATCCATTTATATCAAATCAAATGTTATAGAATAATATTGTAATTTAAATAATCTATATTAAATTTTAATAAGATCATATATGCGAGAAACACAACCTACAGAACCAAATGCCTTAAACGATCTAACTGGATTTTAAGTGCATGTATAATTCTGTGTGAATTTATATACTACATATGTAGTCTTTTAATTTAAATAATATTTAAATAATAACATAAAAAAAGTCAATAATCCTTTTGTCCAAAAAGTTGGGTATTATGTAAAATTGACTTTTAAAATATTTCTAAAACTATCACGTGTTTGCACGTGTGGCGAAGCTCCCTGAAATCGCTTTCTCGATTCACATCGTGACGTGCTAAAAATCTTGGCGTGTGCCCAATGTGCGAATCGTAAAATAACAGACCGCTGCGCGTCGTGAACGGCAACCTAATTTGCTTTCTCGATAACTAATGAAATCTTTTTATATTATGCAATGGAGTTAGTTTTCTATTATCTATTAAATAATTTATAAAATAATTGCAAATCTACAAATTACTTAATAACAAGTGTTTAACATTGGTATTTTTTGTTAGAATAATATTAAAATTAATTTAAAACCAGAATGTGTAAATATATAGATTGCTATTGCAATTATTTAGAAATAGTATTTCATAAATTTTTCTATTTTATAAATCTTATAAATATAAGATAAATATAAGATAAATCTTATTAATATGAAAGATTTAATTTTTAGTTGTTTCATAGATATAAAATTATTTTTGATATAATAGCATAAAATAATTTTTAAATTATTTCTATTGGGTGCTCCAAAAATATCAATGACTATTTAACAATTTAAGAAAACAATTAAGTAACATTTTTGTCCTATCGAGTTCGTGACAGCTGGTCGTGCGTCATAAATTATAACAATGCACCGAGTCGCCGGAGGTTAAATCAGGCTGACACTCTTCAATTATCTGGTCTCCCCTCAAACTGGTATCACGATGCATCGGTCGCCCACATCCTCATCAGTGTCATCAAAAATATACCGCATCATCGCGAATAAAACGTTTAGTCTTTCGTCAGCTTGAATACTTCTTTTAAATAAATGAAATACTTAAAGTAATTAAAAAACATGCTAAGTCATGAAAAGAAAAGATTACTTATTACATTCATAGCTTACAAGTTCACATATTTGAGCCATTAGTGTTCAAAGCCGCGTTAAAATTTAGTTTTAAAAATCTTACAGGAATCGAAGCAGTTTATTATATAAACAACTGTATTTATATGATAATCTACATTTTGTATGAAATACACGACATATAAATTTACTCAGCGTATTATATTCTAAATAAACATATGCAATTTTTTAAAATTTTTATTAAATGTGATATAAAATTAATTAAGTCCAACTTAAAAAAAAATTTAATTAATATTTTTAGACAATCTATTTTGCATGTTTGTTACTTATATAAATTTAGCTGTTTATCTCATACAAGTATTCAATGCTTTTTTAACACAATGGAATTATCTTTTTTTTATTTTATTATTTTTTATATTTTATTTTATTTTATTGAACAAATGCAAATATTATTTAAATTCCAATTTTAAATAAAAGTGTTAAAATATTTTTTTTATTCTTTGTGAGAATATACTCCGACTTAACTTTCGAGACAAGAAGATACAGCACGCAGAATGATAACATTTAATGATCAATAGCGTACATATATGGTAATACAAATATCAACATATCGTGATATTGCTACTCTTGTATATTTTGAATAGTATGCAATAGTGCGTATACGTACGTATTCGTTCGCATGCGATGATGCGATATCGCGTTGGATTTCCAGATAGCTAAACGACTGTTCCTCTCGCGCTCGTATTCACGTAAATTTGGAAATTTTCGAGCGTAGACGGATATTTCGTGACGTGTATTTCTGCACAATAGTCGAATACAGATTTTGCAGCGCAGTACAGTTTTCATCACGCAAATAACGTAAAAATACCTGTATAAACGCGCGCATCGACATTTTAATGCACGTTTCATATTTCAACTAAAATTTTCCCTTAAACATCGATCTTTAAAGTGACTGAAGTATGTGTAAATATACGCATTTTATCATAAAAGACTCTTGTTAATTGAATAAATTAAATCTATTTGAGATATATCATTTTTTTTAAATAATAAAAGTAATAAAATTATATTATTCATTTATTGCACTTTTTATACTGAATAATTAAAAAAAAATAGTTTATTCAAGATTAGCTGGGTTAGGGATTCCACATTTTATATTGATTTTTTAGTTAAATTTCACTGTAAATTGATGTCATTATTCACTTATTCAGATTTAGAGTTTAAACAATTTATTTTTATAATTTAAAAGTACTTTCTTTATAAAATATTTTTCTGTTTTATATAATAAACATTAAAATTTTTTGTATGACAAGGAACGAGTCACAGTTGTTTCTTGTAGTTTAAATGAGCCTAAATGTGATAATGGAGTTGGATATGACGTGATGAAAGGACTTATCGTTTCCGATGTTGTATAGTGCTTTCGCTCGAAGGAATTACTTTGGCGGTCTTCAGAAACGACTGTCGTAATTCTATTATCTTACCGAATGCCATTAGCATAATAATGAGCGATCTTTTAAGAAAACCTAGTTCAGAAAACAGGTCGGAAGTTTCACTATAAGTCCATTATAGTGGATTTTTGCTATTTGAACTTAATTAAAAGTGAAATTGAAATCGAGAACAATTATTTTCCACACTGTTTGTGATAACAATATAACGAATGTAATAGAAGAAATAATTAAAAAATCATAAAGTTCTATATATTTGCGATTTGTTTCAATTTTTAAAGAAATATAAGTTTTCTATTTACGCCACCCGTTATATAAGCAAGAAATGCAAAGGTTATTACTCTCTGCCGTATCTATTTTGCCGTGTTTATTTTGAGATTAAGGGCACTTTGCCAAATTTGTATTACACAATTATATAAATTATTATTTTTTGTTTTCATACATCTCTTCAATTGTGACGTATTTAACAGTCCGTTTAAATTTTACAAAAATTTACTCTGGCTCCCTAATTTTCTTTCTTGCATTTTTTTCTATTTGTAGATATTTTTAGATAATAAACACCATCAACAAAATATTCTCAGTAAAAGAAAATGAATTAATAATAATTTGATTATTTTAGAATGTAGTCACGGAAATTATATCATATTTTATATATATATTACATCATGTTTTATATTGTGTTTTTGTTTTATATTGTGATTTTAAATAGATGCATTAAATTCAAATGATAATTCAGGGGATGGGCGGAATAAAGGCACAATTCTACTTAGACCCTTTTTCCCGGCAATTAGCTTTTTCATGTAATATTGATCATAATAGAAAAGATTTGTAACATATAACTTCTTAAAGACATTATATAAATTCATGTAATATTGTATCCATTTATGTATAATAAAAAAAGTAGCAAATTATTTTAATTTCTATTAATATTAAGATTTTGTAAATAGGCTTTTATTCCGCCCATCTCCTTAATTATGATATTTTATAAATGCAATGTTATTTAAAATAACATTTACTTATGCTTATATTTATTTGCTTTAAAGATAATGATATATTAAATTTATTTTCGTTGAGTAAAAAGATTCTTGATGAAGACATTCATCAGATGCGTCTTCTTGGTAATGCAAACTATGCATTATCCGTATTATCCTCATTATCTTTAATATCCTGGAGCACCCACAACCCTATTTCTTGCGAATGTCTTATTAGCTTAACGTCTGATCCCTTCTTACTGCAAACGCAAGAAATAATTGATAAATTTTGCTATTACAATCATTAATAATGTATTGCAAAATATAAATGAAATATAATTTAAACAATTTATCAAAGTTTTAAATCTTCTACAGTGCTATATAATAAAGATGTAAATTTTATTTAAATAAGATTTCAGAAATTTTGTATAATAGGTTTACACACACTTTTAACATTTTATAATATGAATCTATTTAAGTATTCGATGATCAAACTATGTAAAGCTCATTTATAAAATTAAGATAAATTAAGTTAAAAATTGTGCATATGCTTTTCGTTTGTGATTATAGGGTGATACAGGAGCATACAGAAGTAGACCTGGCGTCAGCATCGCTAGCACATTTGGTAGAAATAGTTCCGGTGGAAGTAACCTACCAAGCTGTAGAAGCAGTTACTCCGGAGTCGGATCGAGTTCTATTCGAACCGTTGCCAAGGAACGGGCGCTTGCTAGTTTTGGAGGTACTTTTCTTAAAAAAGATAAGTTCGAGGAGAAACCAGCATTCAAATATTCATGTAAGATATTTATTTATTTACAATATTTTATATTTGTCTATATTACTTACATATTATTTATATGATCCAAAAATATATGTTATAACATTTATATTAAAAAATTTATATTTAATTGTATCTTAAAGACTTTGTATTATAAGTATTCTATTTTATTAAGATAATATATCCATATATATAATATATATATATATATTTTACTTACAATAATCAATAATTAAATTGACAAATTACAAATAATTAATTCTGTTTATAATATTAGCACTGCACAACATTTTAGTTATATAGTGCTATTAAGTGTTAATAATACTATATAAAATTTATATCTACAACTAAAAACAATTAGTAATTACAATATTTAGTAATATAAAAATGCACACATATCATTCCTTTAGGAAAAATAACGTAGACAAGTCAAAGTTTTTCTTAAATATAGGTACTAAAAATATCGATAAAAGTCGATTGCATTCCGGAAGATCGTCGTCCGAAGACGTGAGGGCGAAAAGTCCGCTATCTGATAGTAGGTCGTCTCTCCTTGAGAAGTACTCGTTCTCAGCTGGCAAAACATCGGAGAGGCCGTCTTCCGTGTTGGACAGATATAACCGACCGGCTTCGCGGGAAAAGAGCAGAGAGCCCGAAGGAATATCGAGGTACGGATCCAGTACATATCCCGGATCGAGTTTCGGCCGAAGTTACGGTAACGATGGTAGAACTGAAAAGAAGGACCATCCGCCAGTTTCCTATAGAGGATTACGTCCTAACTCCGGAAAAACGTCGCGCGAGCCCAGTCCGGAAGTCGGTGTCGGAAAAACGAATTCTTTCAGAGTTTATTCACGAGCGCCGTCTTATAGTCGTTCAGCTGCTTTGCCTAGTAAGTTTTATATTATATTATGCGCAACTTTTTTTAATTATGTATTATGAATTAAAGGATATGAAAAAAAAATCTTATAAGTATTTTATATTATTATAAATATTATGTATAAATATATAATTTGCATATTTAGGCATATGTTTAAATAGGATTCTTAAAGTAAGACATTTTTTTTAATTGTTTCTGTTACATTAATAATAAACTTTATACGTAAAATATAAACTTTGAAAGAATATTTATTGAAACTTGCTTGCGATAATTAATTTTGTAAATACTTTACAACTCTTAAAAATTCTTAATCATTATTATTCTATATAACATTTTAAATTTGACGATGTGAGATAAATAAACAATTAATGTTACAAGAAATAAATTTTTTAGATACATCCGAATCGAGCTCAACAATCTCGAGATTTGGCTCGACAGCTGGTTCGCGATTTCTTTCATCGCGAAGTGGTAACGAACGAATGTCCACAACTGTAAACTATTCCGCAGGAGGAAGATTTCGAAATTTGAATAATAAAGCAATTAATCAAAAAGAAGAAGAAGAAAAAGAAAAATTAAGGTTTGCTACGAAGTCTGACAAAGACAGTCAACACGAATTGTCAAAAACTACAAATCGAATAGAAGAGAACGAAATCAACAATAAACTTCCTAATAACGAGTTTGTGACGTTAACAGTAGTGACAAGAGGTACTTCACCGACGCCTCCAGTTTCTTCGTCCTATGTCAGAAATAAACGAACAGAGAGTAAGGTTATTCAACAAAACGAAGTGATTAAACATCGAAAACTGGCGGATACCACTGACGAAGAAATACAGTGTGATCAAATGGAAGAACCGTCAAGATTCTCGAGGTATGGCAGTAGCAACAGAGCATCTGGTGTACCTTGGTCAACGTATCTGGATAAATATTCAAGTGCATCCTCAACTGGTAATCCATCTATTTATTCGTCTAGAGGATATACTAATGCGAGTTCTTCTAGTGGTAGACTTAATAACTTCGCGTATAAGAAAATGAATGAAGCATCGAAAAATGAATCCTCTGTCAAAGAATTATCGAGTTTAAATCAAGAAATTCATAACTCTGATAATAAAAGTCAAAATGAGAAATTTTTCAGTGATTTAAGCTGCACAACTAATGACGAGACTTTATTAGCGTCCAATGATTTGAAGATATCGAACTGTCAAAATATTCATAACATAAATAAAGAAGATAGAATTCATGATAGCGAACGATGTTGCTGTGGTGCACGAAAGACTGAAACAAACGGAAGCTCCAATAATTTAAGAAGTTCTAATAATCAGAATCTCGCTTTTTATCGCAGAGAGGATTCAATAACGAAGGATTCACAGGATGCGAAATGTGATGAATATAACAAAAAAAAATCGTCCATTTTGCGATTGAAACATACTTCGCCAAAAAATGAAACAAAAATATCTAAATGTTCCTTAAAGAATGAAATAACATCATCGAAACTCAATGCTTATAACGAAAGAAGAGGATCCACTTCCAAATCTGACACCAACTCTTCTTCTAGAGAAGAATCTCTTCGAATTGTCGAAGGACACAATCAAGACCAAAATGAAGAAGTTACTTCTCAAAAGCGTAATACTTCACAAAGAAAAGATTCGACATCAAGGTATGTAAACCTGTCCTAATAAAGTTTATTATTAGACATACATAAAGAAAATTTTTTATATTAATTATAAATTGTTAAGAATATAATAAAATTAATTATAATTTGTTAAATTGCATGTATTTTTATTATAATGTGAATAAATTGCATTACCTTATTCATCAAAAAAACAAACAATGAGTTAATGTTTGTTTTTTTTATAACATTTAACAAATAGAATTTCTGCTATAAAAAGTACTTTATTAAATATATAAAAATTTTAAGAAATAATTGTATATAAATTATATTAAATTATATAAAAACTGAATATTATAGTGCGTAGTCATTATTATATGTAATGTAAAAACGTAGAAAAAGATCTAATTACGATAAATGATCCATGACTTCAAAAGATGCAAAAATTGATTACAAATCTATAATAGAGAGAAAATGCGTAACTTCAGCAAAAAATTAAAATCGATCTGGATTAAGTAACTAATTTTTTTTATTAATATTTTAATATTTTTTATTAAAAGAGGTTCTTCGCAAAGTCGTTCAGCATCGACATCACAAACTCGGAATATACCGACGAAGAACATTCCGCGTCAAATGACGCGAACCGGCTCGTCAGACGGATCTTCTGTAAATATGCCAATTGGCAGATCGAAATCATCGTCAGCTAGTTCGGTGACGAGTCAGAGTATAAAAATAAAAACGACAACGCCGCCATCGCCCGGAAAATCATCCACCGGTTCGATCCTATCATCAGTGAATTTACGACAAGGCGGTTCGCCGGACGCGCGCGGCAAACCACCTGTGCCGAAGAATGATACTACGACCGCCGCCACGCCGAAGTGCACCGTGGCAGCGAAGTACGTGAACAAAGATTTCCGCAAGTCGACCTTGAACATGGAGAACGGTGACTTATCATGCTCTACTAAGTACGCGAGGAGAAAGAAAAGTCAGAGGAACATTTCTGTCAACGCTCAGGATTCTGAAATGACTTCGGACCATATTCCCCAGACAGTATCTTCGGGATCCTTAACCTCAATGAAGTCCGGACAATCGAGATTCAGGACTCCGTCTGCAGAATCAAAGCCAATTCTTGGCAGAAATAGTTCGAATGGCTCAACTAAATGGGAAGAATCGAAAAGTGGCTCAAAGTCACCTTGCGGAATAAAAAAGAGGCCATCTGGGACGTTTAGTTCCAGCACTAGTAGTCAGTCGACCTCTGTGAATTCCTCCAGCAGCGAGGATGACAACGATCATACTGACAAGACGGGATCGAGACGGAGAAGAAAAAGAACAAAATCACCTACGCGCGAAGTGAAAGGTAAAATCAGTGCGGGATCATCGAGAACAAGCGTGTTGGCGTCGTCGGCTGATGATATGTCAATGATGACGGAGAAACCACCTAGACCACCCTCTAATCCAAAATCTAAAAGTGATCGTTCCGTGAAGACAGAAGAGGCCAAGTCCTTTCTGATGAGAGCATTAGCGCCAGTAACGAATTTTTTTAAGAATAAAAATCAAGATTCCGATGATACAAATAAATCAGATGGTTGGATTGAGTCTTTTGAAGAAAATCATGAAGTCAATAATAAATTAGGACAGCCATTTTCGAAGTCAATTGGTCAGAATTTATCAAACGATCCTAGCCTCACTAATTCTCCAAAGAGTGACGGGCTAAGAGGAAATAATATGAAGGTTCAACATCAGTCTTCTGGCGAAAAGCCATGGTGGTTGGATTCAAATTCCGATAATGTTCCTGAGGGAGTTCAAAGAGCTAGTCCATGGAACAATGACATTAGTCAGGACACAACGGTTAGCACGGCCTTACCAGATGACGGTAAGTTAATTACATTTATGTACATATATATGTATAGCAAGCTATTATATTTATCATATACGTGCAGTATATTTAAATATATAAGGCGGTATGCTTAGTTTATATTTTTAATCATTTTGTAAAATCATGATAGTAAAAGATAAAAATTATTATTTTATTATTAATAAATTTGAAAATATATAAATTATTACAATCTTTATTTAAAATTAACAAGTTATTGCAACATTTATGCATATTTAAATACATAACAGTGATTAATTAATTAACAGCAGTTATTTTATGATTTAATTATTAACATTTAATTAATTAATTAGTTGTTTTATAAATTATTCATAATGTTTAGCAATTTTAATTTAAAAATACTATTAAATCCTTGCATTTGTTATGTTATTTTTTGTATGTGTTGCCAGGAAAATATAAACTTAAAATTTGGCGACAAGGATCAGAAGAATATGCATGGTGGTTGGACGATGTTGCAACGGAAGAAACAAAAAAATCACCGGTGTCTTCTATTTCGAGATCTAGGGGATCTAGTCGAGGTAGTTTTCGGTCAGCTGATCGACGAAATCGTATCAGGCATCAGCAGTCCGGTGAACGAGCGTGGTGGATGAGCGACGATCCTGAAAACGTTCCGGAAGGCATCGAGGTTATTCCAGTGGCGTCTGCTGATAGTCAAAGTACCGACAACCCTGTCGTTAACGAGAGCATTTACACTTCAAAACCGCTTAAGAAAATCCGACATATTGAATCTGGGGAGAAGGCATGGTGGATGGACAGCTCCTCCAATGTTCCTGACGGAGTCGTCAGGATTCCCGTGGAAATTCCCAACAGCACTTCCGATTCTTCCGAGTCATACGAGAAGATCGATATCGGTATTAACCCCGAACCTGAGACGTATGTTAAGAGAAGCCTCTCTAGATTTCCTATCGAATTTCCACCACCACCATCCGAACCGTTAGGAGATCGTGCTAGTCCAGAAGGAGTAAGATTGATCATCATATTACATAACATTTATTATTTTTTAATTTTATACGTTATTCTGATAATAGTTTTGTACAATAAATTTCTAATTATAAAAAATTATAATAATCCAAAGAAAGAGAGATAAGTTTATAAAGCTTATTTAAACTATTAATAAAGTATATTACGTATAATATGTGTATTATTAGATAAGAAAATATAAATATTCTTTTGATTTATATTTACTTATAATCAATTATTGAAAGTATTGAATTTTTCAAAATATCTTGAACGATTGAGAACAAATAAAGTTATTAATATCTGAAAATAATTTAGCTGACAAATATACCACATGGGTATTAATCACATAAAGAAAATAGCATTAACTATTGAATCTTATATGTCAATCAATAATATTACTTATTCTTTTATTCTCTTATCTTGTTTTTTTATTCATTATTGCCCATTAAAAGTAATTAACAAATGTTATCGTACTAACATTACAGCGCTATTTTATTTATTATATTTTTATAAAAAATGAAATAATTAAATAGAGAAAAAAAAAAAAATATTATTAATACTTTTGATAAAAAAAATATTTTATTAATATTATTATTAAGAAATAGGAAATTCTCTAGTTTGTTGCTTTTATTGCAGGTCGAGAATCCACCTGATCCTCCAGATAATTATGGGGGACGAAAATCTCCTTATGACAATATACAATCGACACCTCGGAGATTGCCACCGCGGAAACGACCCTCTACATTGCCTTTATTTATTGGCGAGCATACTGACATCGATGACGTGCTTGGTAATACTGCTATGCTGTGCCACAGTCCAGTTCTCTCCCGTGTTCGTAAACAGGAATGTGTTGAAGAGGGTGAGGCAGGAATGAATTTAGCGTCACTTAGCGATCGATGCTATCGTACTCAGTTTACACAGTATCAGTCGGATTATCCGATGTATCGAATAGAGCTCGACAAAATGGATCCAGTTAAATTTGTTGTATAATATTTTCTCTTTTAAAACTAGTAGATAAAAAATAAAATCAATGCATTGTTTGAAAATCAAGATATTTCCGGAAAATAATTTTTGAAAAATATGGGTAAAGCAATTTGAAAAGATTTCGGAAAAAATACATTTGTAATACTTTAATTAGATTTATATTTTTATATGCATAAAAAGAGTTAAAGTTATATCAATGAAATTTTTAACTTTTTAATATTTCTAAATGTTAATAAGTTAAATGTGTTAATAAGTTAAATAATATAACATTTTAGATGTACAAAGATGTAATATTAAAATAAATATTTTAATATTATGTATATGTTATTACAGACATTTCTGAAGACAGTTCGGAATGTGAAGAAATAGATGCAAACCAGGTGATTATTCATGACGGCACACTAAAAACATCAATGATTCAACGAAGAAATCGGTATGTATAATAATAGATGAACATTAGTTTGACAGTTATTTATAAAGTGTATGTATAGGATATCTCTGAAATCTCTCATAGAGCTGTAAATCAGATGTAAGTTTCTATAAATCTTTTTTCTACGACTCATTATTACCGACATATTCTTTAAAGTTAAGATTTAAAAAATATTTTTGTTAAATAACTTTTATATTAAATTTCTAAATGTTGATAACTTGTAATTATTATCTTTATATTGAATAAAAATCTTTAAAATAATGCGATAGAGATTTTTTGATATCACATCAGAGAATTAGAGGCAGACTACAATTTTACTAAGCACCAAAATTATAAAAAAAAAAACAGTTTTTTAATTTTTAAATATTTTTCTTAATTTCTCTTATTTTTAAAAAAGATATTTTTCTTTTGTTTCGAAAAACTGACCTTTCCAGAAAAACACAGGTGATCAATAGAAACATATAATAAAAGAAATTTGCGTCATTAGATTATTCACAATGGAAGAATAATTTTTTTTAAATGTGAAAAAATTTAAAAGATATTCGGAAATTAACAATATTGTTCGCTTCAAAGTTTTAATGATTAGAAGTCTTAAAAGTAACCCGCTTTTGGTTTTTTTTTTCATCAATGTGATATCAAAAACTTTATACTATTAAAAAAATTTTTTATCTAATGATTCTATGAAAATAATTATTACAAATGATCAATATTTAAAAAGCAGTTAAAAATTTAAAAAAATTTAAGAAAAATGTTTTTTAAATTTAAAAACGAATATTTCAACGGAGGTGCGTCATAAACAAAATTTTTTGTATATGAAATCTACGAGGTTTATTTGATCTGCATGCTCATCACATTTTTTTCAGAGTATACTGTATATATATTATATGCATGTAATTTAATTACACAGACCAATGCATTTAATTTTTCTCTTTTCAGAGACAATAAAAGAATTCAACCCGATGGCTACATTCCGGTGAGTTTTGTTATATATTTTTATGCATGCTAATGTGAATAGATTTTTTCTTATTTGCGAAAAAAAGCGAGATGTGATATTTATTATTATTAATGATCTATGTATAAGCAAGAAAATATAATAATAACAAATATAATAACAAATATAATAATAAATGTAATAATAAAGTTAATAAATTAAAGAATAAACAAAATATTAAATTAAAAAATAAGTTTATCAAAAATTTATTTACTAGTATAATTATTAATAAATTAATGGAGTACTGTATCATGTTAAATATATTGTAATATAAATAATAATTTAAAAAAATAATGTTTCGCAAAATCTAACATTTTTTTAAATTTATGCTATTTTTCGGTCTCTCACACAATTTTTTAAAATTTTCATTTAACTTTTACATTAAACATCTAAATTCTTTTAAAACTAAACACAAAGGAAAACACAATGAAATTAAAATTTTTAATAAAAGAATTATAGTAAATGTACGTGTATTATCTTCATTTAAATCATAAATATTCTTTTGAGGATAGATACAATAAGCTTACTGATGCTAGTAGGAAGAAGAGAACATTTTTTTATAGTCTCCTTTTTATATATTTGTATTTACTATTTCTATACTTTTATTTTGGTGAGTGATACATAAACAATAGATAGCTCAGCTATCAAGAAAGTCCCTAAACAAGGGTCTACAAAGGGGATAAGATCAAAAATATGGAAATGCACGCGACACTATTGTTTCTCGTGAAGGATACACAAAGAGCGTCTTGCTACTGTAATTTTTCATGTTGTGCATGAAGCAGTTTCAAAAGGAACCTTGCTTACTTGAGTACTTACATCACTTTGCGCATATTGTCTCGGTTAATAATTATAATCTCAACATAATATATTGTCGCAATTTTTACTGAGTTTTATTAGTTTTTGTAATAAATAAATAAATTATTATATTTGTTAAGAATAATTAAAAATCATTTTTATAATATGTCTTCTATATATGTGATATATTATATACATATATATAAATATATAATGTAAATATATATTAATAACATTTTATACATATATTATAATATTATTAAAAATTTTAAAAACAGATTTGAATTAATTAATTAACAATATCTATTGCAATATAAAACTAGATAAATATATCTATGGCAAACGAATTATATCTTACATATATTTTATGTTTACAGTTATATGAGACAATTTATAACTTTAAAATATTTACTAGCTTATTAAAATTTGATGTAAATTTCCTAATTTAATGAAGATTAATTTTATTTATACTACGCACATATAAAAATTATTAAATACAAAATTTATTAAAGATGGTTTTTTTTTATCGGAATTGTATGTGAATATTTTCAATTGGTTTCGTTTTTAAAGTCATTTTGCGAGATTCAATTTTCGTTGCATATTAATGAGTATCCTTTAATATGGTATAGAAACATTTGTAATTGATTATTTCAAATAATCAATTATCAGAAGTCACTTCTATTCTTATGATATGCGAACTACTATTGTGAAACGGTAGCATTCTCTCGCACAATGAACCCCCCTCCATCACGTTTCTATAGGCTCAACATCTCCTTTCATGCCATTCCCGAGATTCCTATGAGGATTCGTTGCCGTACGTAACTGTGCTGTAGTCGCTTTCCGTACTTCCACATTTCCGTATTTTTCATTACTTTAATAACATAAATTTTATATATATATTTATTACAGCAAGATTAAAAATATAGCAAGAGTACGTAATACTTTTATACAGTCTCCAAATCATAACGTACTCTTAGTCCTTAAATTACATGTGATGGAGTTTTCAACAAATTTTGACAAGTATTTGCACAATACAGTGAAAGAACTATATTGTATATTATTTTTTAAACAAGAAAAGATTATTTTTTTAAACAAGAATTCTTTAACTAATAATAAAATATCTGCAAGAAATTTTTCCTTGAAACACTTAAAACCTCCAGATAGAGAGTTATAATAATAACTAGAATATTAACTTCCTTCTAATTTTCAGACATAAAAACAAACAATACAATAAATTTCCTGTAACTTAACACTGATAGATTCTTCCATATAATATAATAATGCTAACTCAATGTTTGTTGTTTATATCGAAATATTAATGCCTCCTACCGCCTTAATTACTCTTATTTAAAATTCTTGACTTTTGCTACGTAATAAAAAGTTTTAATTTTCGGAAAATTGCTTGGTACTTATTTTGAAAGAGGTGCATCTATAAAGAACGATTCTTTTAAAATAAGAAAATTAAAATAATAAAATTCTTTCATCTTAGCAAAAAAATTAAAATAAAGATTTTAAATGCATATTTTATTTTAAGAAAAAAATAAGATAATAAAAGCAAGCATAATTATTAAATATTGTACGGTCGCACACACAGTGTAACAAACATGACAACCTTAAAAATGACGTTTACAGAGCAGTCATTCACAAAAAAATTATTCATTCTACATATATCTTTAACTCCAACAAAAAAAGCGTGCAATAAATTACAGAAAAATTATAGATTCATAATTTGTGAAGATGATAAGTATGTTTTATTTGAACATTAGTATCGCGGTTCGGGGTGCGCACCACGTGAACGAGAGAGGGGTTCGACCGCGCGGCGGCGGCACTGTCGGTCGACGGCGACAGGTGTCTGCGGCACGTTCAGTGTCGCGACGGCCGCTCTCGAGGTAAGGCATGTTGTTGCGCGTCGCGTATTAACGTACATATATATTCGCGCTGCGTCGATACATCCTCTTTTCATCTATCGCGCGTGTGTTCGTGATCTTACTACTTTTCATCTACCGCGCTTTCCAACCACGCGGCTTCCGGCACGCGTTTCCGTTGTTCGCGTCGGCGGCGGAAGTGCGCGTGTCACCCGAAAGGTGAGTTCTTTCGCTTCGCGCAGACTCCGTGATCCCAAGCGCGCGCGCTTTCATCTCGCGCAGCGCATGGAGACCCTTGTCGCTACCCGGCTAGCCTTTCGTTCTTGCTTCGAAGGACCTCTTTACGGATTATGACAAAAGTTGAATGGAATTCACGAATACTTTCCAATAGCTTCGTTTCATTATATTCGATAATCATATGAGAGTAAAAGGCACGTAGGAACTCAGTTTGTTATTTTGTAATTTTGCATATCGAATTGAATCATGGAGCAATCAAATGCCTGATTTTGAAAAGTTATAAAAGATATACAAGAATTATGAGATATAAAAATTACAAGACCGCAAAAAAAATAAATTTTCCGAAGTTAATTACACACACACACACACACACACACACACACACACACACACACACACACACACACACACACACACACACACACACACACACACATGCTCATCTCACACACACACACACACACACACACGTGATGATAGTTTTTATAAAATATACAGTTAGATATATTTATATTTTTTAATATAATATTGTTAGAACTTATACTGTTGAAAAACTGGTGTCTGAATACATGTCTTATCAGTAATTCGTGAAATAAGGATTTATTATTTTAATAAAAAAATTAAACAAAACATAAAGAGCAAATGTTGGATTATTTAGAAAGAAGAATACAGTAAATAATTTTGCATAAAAGAAGAAATATATTTGCATAGAGAGAGAAATATATATTCACTTAACATAGAATACTCCATATTTAACATGAAAGATCTTTTGTTTACATTATGAAGTGCGTACTTCACATTTCGAAGCACGTGCTTACAAATATTTTTTTTGCAATGTTGTCATAACACGTCCCGGTAACTTATTTGATAGAAATATTTATATATAACTGACTTGTATTAGTAGTAGAAAGATTTTGCTTTGAAGTAAAACAAAGAAATATAAATGTTTGTTAGTTACATTTTTGCAATCACAGTATCAATTGTTACATAAATCAATCGAAATTAGCAACTGATTAGAAATCTTTGAGAATGATACTTCGATTTTTAAGCAATAAAGATTTTGGAGCATCTCAAAAGTTTTCATGTTTTTGTTTTATTATCTGTATGTTTACAATCAAAATGAAAAGTTATAAGTAACGATTATAAAATTTTTATGTTTTGATTTTTAATTCTCAATGATATTGGATTACTTTTAATTGTATTATCCATATTTAAATTTTATTACATTTGACGTATCAATAGACATGATCTAATGTTTTAGCGTAAATATCGCACTGTTGATGGAACTTGGATCAGTAATTTTCTCGAATTTTCTAGAATGTCACACATTTCGACAGGTTCTGATTCAGCCGCTCCTGAAGAATATTATTTATTTCAGATGTCAGTTAGCGCGTTCAGATGATAGGTCCGGTTCACTGTTTTGTCATGCTTTTTTTTAGTCGTTTACTTTTCGATCTGTTTTGTGCGAAATTTTCACATGATTATCGGTGATATAAATAATTTAAAAACAAACATGTTGTAACATTCGCTTGAAAACTCATTTATTATTTCTTAGCGATTTGCAATTGTTAAAATAAGTCGTTGTGATTGTTAAAAAATAATTTTGGTGATTCTAGATTGTTTCTTTTGTAACGTTATTTCCTCCAAATTAATTCTAATATTTTCGAGAACAATCTAGAAACACATTAGTATAAAAAGAGACGGAGCAGCCTCTCGACTCGCAATTCGAGTAGTTTGCTAGTGTAAGTGATGCAGTCTTTTTGCGCAAATCAGTGCTTTTTCAATAATTTGATAATATTTTAATATTTTGGATTTAACGTGATAGAAAATTATGAAGTTGAAAAAAGAATTGTATTATTAAGATATTTTGAAACGAAGTGTTTAATGAATATAAATATGATATGATAAATATGATATAAAAAATGCTCCAAAATGTTATTTAAAGGTTGAAGTATAATTTTCGGAGATTTCGATATTATAATAGCAAATATTCCAAAAATACTAAAATATCATAAGGTATCGTAAAACGTAAAATTTAAAAATTTACCGTATTAAAATGTATCTACGTGTATGTGTATGTATATG